CAAGGGGGAAGAGTTGGTTTGATTAGTGGCAGGAGAGGATTGGTTTCTAGTTTTGTACACACAGCTTCTGTTATAATGGTACTTCATTCCTACTGAGAAACCACAGGCTGGTGTAGCTTGGTTAGGATGGGAGGACTGTTAGGAGAAGTGACTGTCATTGCTAATTTCTCAGAACTTACAATAAGTAAAGACCCATTTCTCAAATCACAACTCAAGTTATTTAGTAAAGTTCCTAACCAAGACACATGGGTAGCTCAGTTGAGTGCCTGACTTGGGCTCAGGTCATGATCTCACAGTCTGTGGGTTTGAGCCCCATGTCAGGCTCTGTGCTGACAGTGCAGTCTGCTTCAGATTCTCTGTCTCCCTCTCTCCCTCTCTCCAAAATTAAAATAAATTTCCTTTTATTTTCTCACATGAGGCTACTCCCAATGCAGACTGCTGGATCATTCAAATCACTTTCATATACCTATCTATGTATTTCAGGCAGAGGATGACAAGAAAAATCTGAGTAGGATGCAGACTCTGATGGATAAACTTCAGCTAAAAGTACAAAGTTACAAGCAGCAAATGGAGGCAGCAGTAAGTACCTGGCGGCCATTACAGCCTCATGGATTTCCCAGCCATTGTTTTTGATTTATGGAGATAGGTAAGCACTTTGTCAGAGAGGACCAGCTCAGCTTAAAGTCTGTTCATTTTCTAGTTTTTCTCAGACTAGAATTATCACCCATGCTCAAAAAATTGTTACTTTTTCCTTCAGGGAGCCAGAGCTTTCACCATCAACCTTGTGGTTACACTCAGATATGTGCATTGCAAAAAAATGAGTCAAGTAAAAACATGATGTCGTATAGGGATGGCAAATTTTTGGCCAGATAGTCACCCTGGGGCCTTCCTCACCCTAAAAATCGTTGGGTGAGTGGTTTCACAGCCTCAACATAACTCTGGCCAAAACGGTCATCATTTGAAATGTACTTGCCAACGCTGGTTGCCAACTCATAGCTACATAGAATGTAATTCATAAGTAATGTATATATTGGCTTATATCTAATAATATATATCTAATATCTCTTCAGGGGTTTTGAATTATTTCAATAATTTTGCCTAAAATTGCTATATGTAATAATTACTTGTTGACATATAATTTTAAAGATAAGCCCCCTTCACTCAGAGGTAAACTAGGATGTTTAGCTGTTTGCAAAACAATTGTGGTTTTTCTAACACATAAGATGCCCATGAAAACCATACTACATCCAATTAGTGGAACGTGCTGAGCAGGTTCTAAATTTCCAGAAAACAATGCTTATAAAAATGGGTATCATGCCTGCTAGAAAGTCTGAATCCTTATATATCATATCATACCAAAATATATTCCATTCAACACTCAGTTTATATTCCTTTCACACATTTTTCAACTTTATCATGTCAAAGCAGAGAAAATGACTATGTAAGCACAGGGATATTTTTTTCATTTTTTTTTTATTTTTATAGGAAGCACAAGCCAATCAATATTTTTCCAAGTATAAGAAGCAGCAACACGAGTTAAACGAAGCTAAGGAAAGGGCAGAGATAGCAGAATCTCAAGTCAATAAACTCAAGTTGAAAGCAAAAGAGTTTACAAAAAAGGTATGTCAGATATTCAACTCTAATTCTTAAAGTGTGTGTGTTTAGGGTTCATGTCATACAACGAGTAGAACAAGAAATCTCTTTGTTGCCCATCCCCTTCCCTTTAAAGTCTTCCCTATTTACTAAATTCTCCTTGTCCAGGTAATATGAAGTGCTAAGCATTTGGGTGGAATGCACATTGTATTTATACTTCTCAAATTCTTAAGTCCAGGTGAACTTGTAGACTCTGAATTCCAGGTCCTAGATTCACTTTTATAGAACAGTCAGAAGTCCAGAGAACAAAGATAATTTAAAAAGTTTGAAAGATGGATATGCTTGAAACTCCAAGAGAAGTCTTTCTAGGTAGACAAGTACATGACTTTATACTGAATCAGTATGGAGACCTGGGAGGTGAGGTTTAAAGTTGAGGCAGTGGAGAATAAATGCACTTGTCTTTTCTAGCTTTACTCCTGGTTCTGTCCTAAAGCAAGGAGAAAGGATATTTCCATATCTGTGGGTTATGACACTACTATTCTGATCCCATGGTACGGACACTACCCTAACTTTACCAGCAAAGTGGCAGCATGACAAAGACCATTGAACAGTGGGCTTGTCCGGGTGTGTTCAGGTTACTATAACAGAATGCCAGAACCTGGGTGGCTTATAAACAACAAACATTTCTCACAGTTCTTTAGGCTGGGAAGTCCAGGATCATGGTGCTGGCAGATTCAACATCTGGTGAGGGCCACTTCCTCATAGCCCTTTTCTCAATGTGTCCTCACACAGTGAAAGGGTGGGGGGGGGGGAGCTCTCTGGGGATTTTTTTTTTATAAGGCACTGATTCCATTCATGAGAACTCCACCCTCATACTTAAAGCCCCACCTCCTAACACCGTCACTATGGGGATTGAGATTTCAACATATGAACTTTGGGGTTATACTAACATTGAGACCATAGGAAGCTCAGCTTTCTTATTAGATTTTCCAGGAACACAGGGTGTTTAAATAAGGTCTAGCTTTAGGAGAAATGAACTAAAGAACATTAGATAAGACATTAGCTGTCCTTTATGGAATGCCTATAAAACACTTAGCAGTCTCTAGCACAGACAGCCACCATTTCATTTTTAAAAATTTGGTACCTGCCTGGTCTTCTTATAAACGAATTACTAATAACTCTGCAAGATAAGTAGGGTTGTCCATAATAAATACTACCTGGAAGGAGGTCAAAATAATCTCTTTTGAAGGAGAATCTAAAAGTTGGTTGTACTGAATAGGTTTAGATCTAAATATGAGAAGCATGGGTCATTGGTACACTCCAGAAATTTCTTATTGATGCTTGAATAGTTGTCTTAGGGATAAGGCCTATGTGCAAAGGTCCACTTGAGTGGTTTGAACTCTGGCCACAATTTGAGAGGGTCATGGCATTGGTTTTGGGTGCATATAAACCAATATGCCTGCCCCTCAACTGCACATAATAGTTTTGTTTGGGGAAATGCCTCACACAGGCTACATTTGCACTCAGCTGTAGGAGGTCAAAAGGGCTGCAAAACAGATGTAATGTATTCGACTTTGTCACAGTTGTTTCCAACAAAGAATAAAATGAGTGAAGCAGAAATTGCTTCTGAGAGGCCCAAGATGAATAGGAAAACCATCCTTGGCAGTGCAATGACTAATTGTTTCCCATTTATAGAAGGAAAGCCTGAAAATCTCTCAACTGTCATAAACCAAGTGAAAACGTTTTCTGATAGAATTGTGTGTCCCAGCTATGGAGCCAGTGGTAATATGGCCACAGCCTTGCCTTTTCTTTTGTAGAGGGCGCTGCCTTCACTGGCAAGGCTTGGCAGGCAGAAAATTGAGAGTACCCAAGCACGTCCTTCAGATGAATTACCTGTGTCTGCTTTGTGTAATGCACATAATTGCCTCAATTCCCCGTATCCCTTTGAAGCTAATGAGGAGTTGGCTGAGGTCTGCTTACTCTGGAAGGGACTGGGCTTGGTTCTGGGTGTGTGTGCCACTGATGAAAGTCACAGGAATTCACAGAACACACTCATATTGTTTTTCAGGCTCATGAAGAATAAGCAGTCCTTGCTTATGAAAAACAGAAGTTGGACAAGTCCAAGGATGGTACCATTTGATGGCTGAAAACTTAAGTTGCATTTGAAACAAGCATTAAAAAAAGCATGTTTATGTGGTGTGAAAAGCAGTTTAAAAAAGGTGATTAGAAAATGTAATGAGTATCCTTGCTTCCCAGGTTAATGGGGATTTTTTTGGTCCTCAAATACAAGTAAACATTTTGCATAAAAGATAAAAGAGTCTTTTAAATTCTCAAGTTAAAAAAATACCTATTGCCTTTTAATGCAAAATATTTATGGAAGACATGGACGATGAGGCCTAGGGTATGTTAGTAAATTGTTATTACTGAAGTTAATGAGTTTTGCTGGACTCCTCCAACAATAAGTATATTTTTAGCCACCAATGGTGGGAGTTGATCAACTTTTCTCTTAACACTGTAATTTACATATAGTCACAGGTACTTAGAACTTGTAGATAAGAATCCTCCTAATCTATACCTGGGTGGACTACATGCCTGTGCATTTTTCAAACCTGAAACAGCTTCTCATATAAGATGATCAGTTTAGTGTTAGGGGGAATGCTGGCTTTGTATTGTGCCAATGTAGCTAAGCGAGAGGTACATTTCCTGGATTTCCTTTCTCTTTCTCTGTTTGTTCTGGACTGGAGTTGGTCACAAGAGAAATTTTCACCACATTTGAGAGGGAGCGGTAGAGATGCAGCTGTTCATTTTATGCTGTTAAGCTCATGGTATGGCCCCAGGCACTGTGATAGCTGGCAAATACTACCCCAGGCCAAAAGAGTGAGCTGGCACTGAAACTCCCTCCTTCAGCTTCAGAGTCCTAGCTAGGTGTGTGTGTGTGGCTCCATGGTACTGGGCACCAGCTTCTCTTGCAGGTCACCCCTGTCATTGCCTTTGGAGGCCCTGAGAGGCATGAATTCCAGTTTCTTCTTATGGATTTCAGTTCATTGTCACTCCACAACCAGCTCTCCTTGCTGACCACTAGCACAGCTGACCTACAGCTACCTAAGGTACATCCCCAGATGCGGAGGGGACAACCTGACATGGGCTTCTTTACAAATGCCCAGACTTGTGTAAGGTTGATTCTATATAATAAATCTTTATTCTAGCATTCTCAGCAGTGTGCCTCTCTGACCCAACCCTGACTCATACAGGTGGCTCCAAGATTAATTTAGAGGCTCACCAGCATTGAAGGACCCAAGTTCATTGTTGTCTGCCACCCTGAATTTGTTGACTTTAGTCTTTCAATTTGTCCCTCCTCATCACTGTAAGGAGACGATAGTAGTTCTGAGCATTTTCTACTGACAAAGTTTTTGTTTATAATGATGTCAATACTTTATGATGAGTACCTGTCATAACATTGGAGCAAACACTTAGAGAAAATTGGACCAGGTAGCATTAATATACAATTCAAGGTTGATTTTCTCCTATAAACTATAGGGTCAAAACTTGATTAAGTAACAAAAATCCTGATTAGATTTTTTTCTTTCTTATAAACTGATTAAAATTAAAAGGAAGCGATCAAGTCAACTGCGCTATCCATTCTGTCTTTGTGTAAAAATTTATGTGGAAATATAAATTTATAATAAGGCTGATTAACAATATGACAACTGAGCCAGAAGAGTGAATCAAATTATCTTCATAGCTAATGTCACTCAGCTATGCAAACCTGGTGTTGGAAGGTATAACCCAGACTCAGAGATGTCAATTCTTGAGTTGATAGGGCCCTTTGCTCTAGGCAATCTTGAAGATACTGACATTTTTAGACTTTGGAGTCCCTAAGACTCATCATACTAAATTTAGTTGGTTAAACTGATATTAACTATTCATAGAAAACTGGAGTACAATACCTTAGCATATCAATTGCCCTGGTTTTTCACCTTTTCACTAAGGTAATTTCTGCTTCTATGTTGATCAGATCATTAGTTGATCAGATTTTGAATCAACACTTAGTGATAATTTCTTCCAGGATCTTGATGGGAGTCTCACTGTGGCTGATTGCAGCAGGGATGTCAATGAATGAGAAAGTTCTAAGTTTGAATTGGAATCCTTGGCATCCAGGCATTCATAATCTTGATGCAGGTAGGGAGTCAGTGAGTGATGGCTAGGACTTGAAGAGTAAATGTAATCTTGTCAAAGTCTTGCCAGTCTTTCCAATGGTAGTTGGAAAGTCTTTCCAATGGTAGAATTACTGGGCCATGATGAGCCATATCTGGAATTGCAGTAAAGAAAGAGTAAGTGAAGTCACTGGATATTAAGGATGCTCGTCATGTGTTACCACAGTTCTGCTTCATTTCCTATACTGTCTGGGTGTTTTGAAAGGGCCTAGAACCAAGAAAAATGGGACTTTATGTGGCCATTGTTCATGTCAGAATAACCATTTTTATCTTGAGCATTTAATGATGGTACTGTTTTGTCTTGATTGTTGGGAGAGGGGAGCTCTAGAGCTATTGTTTGCATCTGTAATGAGGGATCCATGAGACAGTTGTAAGTAGTTATGAAGTCTCAATTTCAATCTCCCTCCTAGATTAGTTCCTGAGTTTTTAACCAGTAGAAAAGCGAGTTTACCTCACTCTTTGCTCTCATTTATATTATGATTAATGGACTCCTAAAAGGTGTGCAGCAGCAAAAAATTTAAACTCCACTTTAAACAACTGAATTTGCAATCAAACTATAATTTGTAAGTAAATTCAGTCCCCAAGGAGCCTAGAAGTGGCTGGAAAAGTATGGATTCCCAGCCACCTGAATCTGGGCAGAAACTGTCATCTGCTTTTCTCTACTTTCTATTTCTTTCGGCTTCTATTCAGTCCCATACTTCCATTGGAAGAATAAATACATTGGTGCATCATCATATGCATAGTGCCATTGGAGATCTCTATAAATAACAGTAGGAAGTGAGAAGAGCAGCCACTTATTTAAGTAGCGCCTGTTTAATTATAGACATTGGAAAAAGTCCTAATTTTATTTTTTTCCTGTTGAGTTATCCTATGATCCCTCTCACCCTTTTTTCCCCTCTGATGATACGTCAGTCACTTTTTCACAGTAGCATTCTTATACTATAAGGTTTGATAAAGGAAAGATTTTACCTTGTTTTCTTCTGTGTCATTAGCAGTGTTGGCTCTCTCATCAGTAGAGACAGAATACCTTTCTACAGGAAAAAAGAGAAATTAAAAAAAAATCTCTTTGCAAATGCTCAGCTTCTTTCTTATTCCTACCTCAGTACAATTACGTTATTAGATTCACTCACCTTAGTCACTCCCCCTTTCATATCTTTCTTCCAACAAACAGCATTAAAAATGCATTCAGTGTAGAAATACTTCTTCATCTACAAATAGCAATAAATTCTTATGGCCGATTCAGGTGCTCCAAAGCAGGGGTAAAGGCTGTTCAACCAGGCCAGGAATTCCTGGCTCTTTAGGATTGTTGGCCTGATTCCTACTAACTGTTAACAATGGAAAATAACAGCCAAAGAGATGATGGTTAAACCCAGAGCGATGGCAAAGGAAAAGGGATACAACAACATTGTAAGGCCTTCCTTTTGTGCCTCGCTAAAATCTGGGATAATTTATACTTATCCTAGACTAAGGACATTTTAAAACAGTACTAGAAAAGGGAATTTAAAGAAGAAAAACATGAACCATGGTCCTATGAAACTACAACCAAGGTTTAGGGGCCATTAGTGCAACAGCTTGAAATAAATTTTCAGCCTACCTAACTACAGAACTGTAGAACATTATTTTTTTAGGTAGCCAATACCCTGACATTGTTTTTGCTCTTATCTCCTGACTGCTCCTCCAGAATCAGAACCCAGCCTCCTGTCTCTGCCCTGGGATGCTTACCTGAGTAGGTTCCTTCTAAAGTCTTCCCTCTGGCCTCCAGTTGAGGTGGAGACCAGAGAGAGGAAAAGGCAAATGCACATATTTATTCTTCCAGCTCTTTCCTTGTAAGGTCTTCTTGGTCTGTGTCCTTCAACTAAAAGTCATTCTCCCTATAAGGCATCAGATTTTACATGACTCTCTGCTTCTGGGTTTTGGGAACTGCACCCTCTCCTTGTCCCTTCAAGCTTATATTTGCTATCAAATCAGCTGCTCCCAGTTCTGGGGAAATGCACTATCTTTTGTGTTCCCCTTTGTACAATTTTGGGTATGCCAGGTGTTTTCTGTTGGGACTTGACTTTTGCACATTTCCAAAATAGAAACTAAAATGTCATTCTTGAGCAGTATGTAGTGTCCCTCTGTTCTATAATTTGAACCCTAATTTAGTCACAACCGTCATTGTATCAGGTCAGAGGTTGCTTCTGGGGGACAAACTAGACTTGCCCAGAATTTCTGATTTTGTTTACTTCCGGCCAGCTGAGGGACAGGAGGAACAATAAGCAGGACTAGTCTGCGGATTAGTACAAACAATCAAAGGTGTAGATTTGGTGAAACTCTTGCTCAGTATCACCCTTAAAAACCTTACCTTCAATAATGGTGTCTGCTATGACCAAATCCCCTAACTTCATCAGGGGCAAAAGGCAATTATCAACCAGAGGAAGGGACATGAGCTATATCTCAGCCTCCCAGGACACTCGGTCTTCTCAGAAAGGTTATGGAGTAAGAGAGCTACTTGGAGCCTAGACCTACCTCTGCCACTAGTTAGCTGTGTCATCGTAAGTGGTGTACATGAAACTGTTTCATGTCCCTAACTACTTGGATTCCAGTTTCCTGGTCTATAAAATGTGGAAATAACTACATCTAAATTTTTCCTGGATCTAATTCTGTCAATAAGAGCAAAGTCTTCTAAGAAGTCCTGTGACCATGGCATCTTAATGTATAATTTTAAATTACCATAAGTAATAAAAGTACTGTAAGTAACACAGGTTTGTCCCAGAAAATCTAGAAAAAGTTTTTTTTTTTACAAATTTAACAAGGATTAAAATAAAATGGCCTATAAAGAACAAAGAAGTAGCACCATAGACAAAGCTCAAGGAAAAAGAAAACAGTACAAGGACTAAAGCAAGTCCAGACAGAGGGGGCAAACTCTCTCCAAAGGCATCCATTTTAAAGTCTGGGTTTATTTCATTCCAGCTATTTTTCAATGCAAGATAAATTTGATCTTTTTGTGTATTAGTGCCAGATTTAAATTTTTTCAGTGTGCTACAATGCATGTGCGTGTATATAGCTTGTTATATTGTTGACCATTTAACTCAGGATAAACTTGTTAAAAGTAGGATAGTTAGATGGAAATGTGAGAGCATTTAGAAAGGTTGCTGATAAATTTTGCAAATGAATATCCAGAAGATTGAAGTCTGTTTACAAGCCCAGCAGCTGTGTGGGGTTAGCTGCTTGATACACCTCTACTCAACACCCAGGGAACAAAGCCCAAATTCCCCATGAGACACCTATCTCCACTGAAATGGATGCAACTTATTGACTTAATAAGGAACATGCAAAACCAAAGGCACCAGAGACAGGATAATTATCCAGGTAATTCCTTTTTGACTCTGTTCTAAATAAAACAAAAAGTCTATAAACTGGAAGAAAAATTACCAAAGGAAACATTTACTATTTTAAAAACTAGTTATTTCTGCATTCATGAGCATAAATACCTCACAGTCTCAATGGCTTTACTGTGGGAAACCTGCATAAGCAGGAATATTAACCAATTTGGGGCTTAGTAGGGAGTGGGTGTCAGAGGAGAAAAAGTCTGCAAACTTAAAAGGCAGTGAGTCTATTATGCACTGTGAGTTTCTATTTTTTATATTGTGAAGAGAATTAACAAAGGGATAATTATGACTACAGACTAACCTCAGCCCAGCATTCTCCTTGGAGGATGAAGGGAGGGCAGAGTTCACCCTTGGCTTGGAGAAGACAGGGGCATAGAGGAACAGGGGTAAGTACAGAGGTGATGAGCAGAGTGGTGTGGGAGCCATGGTCTTGAGTGAGAGGTGACCAAGAGAGTGCTTGATGCCCCTCAGAATCATTGGAGTAGCCAGAGTTTTTTCAGCATCATTGTTGGAACTATAATTGTAATTAGTATTAAAAGAAGTAGGACCCAGAAGGCAGAAACTTGGAGACCTTAAGTTACCTGCTAATCTTGTGATCTATGTTCTGCCACAGAGTGGGGGCAAGCATTAGAGCACATAGGCCAATTCAAGGTGGAAAAAAATGTTTATAGCTATTCTTTAAAATGAATAGCTCTATATAACAGATGCCTATTTTTATGAACATACTCTTTATTAATAAAGTAATGTCCTGCAATCACTAAAACATTAATCTCTCTATATATTTGTGTCATTCTGAAATTCTATACCCATATAGAGGGTGAACAATTAAGTAGAAATGTTGACTTTCAAAAGTGTTTCCGTATGCACACTTTTCCTCCTGAAAAAAATCTTGCAAGGTATAGAATTTCCTTACTTTACTCATGACCCTCGCTTCTCCCATCTGTAAAGAAATTTGCCTAACATCACATAGTGATTCCACAAAATTTAGCAAGAATTATTAAATTCCATTCAATTCCATGCAACTTTTATGGAGTAGATCCATAACCCCTCTGCCCCCAAATCTGGGCTTCCTTTTCAAATGTTGCAGCATCTCCTGAGGAAGATAACAAGTAGAAAATTGCAATTGAGAACAGAAAACCAAGTTGCCTTGAAAGAGTGATGTTGAGGATATGAGTGGTGTTTGCCCTGTGGGGGTAGCTCCCATTACACACCTCTTCCTGGGTGGGAATGAGAGGTTCTGAAAAGCTTCTTTTGTCAGAGATGGAATGGTCCTGATGCTTTGCTTTGTGTAAACTAAAGATTAGACCTCTGATTAGAAAGATGGGTCATATGTGGTCTTCAGACCATATCTTCCTGTTTTTTTCCCCCACACTCCAAAATGAGGCAACGTTTTAAAAACAGAATGAAAGCTTAACTGTATTTTACATAAAACTAACATTCTTATTTTGGAGAAAAATAGGAGCTTCAAATGCACTCCACTTTTCAGCATTGTCAAAATGACAGCTCTGCACAAAGGGAGTATTGTCCCTCAGTGTCTAGAAGCTTCTGCTTGAAGACTACTTGACCTAAGGACAACTCTATGTTCTTACCTCCAAATCTGCTATTCCTCCTAATTTTCACAACTAGAATGATATAAATGTTTTTAAAACAAATATTCAACTGACTCAAGTATCTTTAATACATAATACAGAGCTGCCATGGTTTCCTACGACATCATGTTGATAGCTTAAGGGTAAGGGGATCAACCAATCCACCTAGAAAGTCAACTTCACGGGTGCATATGCCATGACTCTAAAATATCTCTAGTCCACTCTCCATAAATATTTTTGGCAGTTAACTATCAGTAGAGGTAAAAAGAAAATAAGCTGAATCGGGCATCACTTAATTGCTTCCAACATCCCTTGGTGACTGTTTCCACCAGGTTCACAGATCATGCTTCCCCTGCATCTACCAGAGCCCCAGTTCTAACTTCTTACTGTGCCTGAAGCCTCAACTCCCCAAATTCCAGGCCCTAAAGCACAGGTTAAGCACAGTAGTAAGCAGAAATTGAGGATGTTAAGACCACAGACTCACCAAATCATGTAAATTCCCTCTACATTTCTGAAGCCCTGAAACCATGAAGAGGAATCTTCTGGGAGAAAAAAAAAATTTTTTCAATGCAGGACTTTGTGATTTTTAAAGAAGTATCTTGGCCAGAAGTATCCCTATAGATAACATTTTCAAGAATACTTATCAAAATTATTCGTTAAATGCCAACCTAATTTCCCTGTTTGATATTCACAATCTCTATTGCTATAGCCAAAATCTGTTACCCAACCCTACTTGTAACTTACTTACAACATGCAGCATTTGGATGGTGAGTAAGCTATATTTGCTTGAAGAAATATTGCCTAAGTATTCCCCACTGTCTGAAAGACTAAGATCCTTCAAAGTCAAAGAGAAGTCACTTTGTTTTTTTAGGTCTTTGTTCCATGAAAGTCAGGGTTCACTGATAGGTCTTTGTTCCATGAAAATCAGGGTTCACTGATAGTTGTTATCTTGTGAGGAGCTCAGAAAGTGAGCCAGGATGGAGGAGATCTCCTTTTCCACTTTGGACCAAGTGACTATGAAATCTTAGTCCAGGGGCACCTGGGTGGCTCAGTCGGTTAAGCGTCCGACTTTGGCTCAGGTCATGATCTCACGGTTCGTGAGTTCAAGCCCCGCATCGGGCTCTGTGCTGACAGCTCAGAACCTGGAGCCTGTTTCAGATTCTGTGTCTCCCTCTCTCTCTGACCCTCCCCCATTCATGCTCTGTCTCTCTATGTCTCAAAAATAAATAAACGTTAAAAAAAAATTTTTTTTTAAATAAAAAAAAAGAAATCTTGGTTCAGTAAAAAAAAAAAAAAATACTGTTCACAAGTTTACATGAGAGTGCAACATTTTCACCCTGCATTTTATGAAGGTCATCTAATAACAGGATAGAAAAGGAAACATCAATGAAAATACAATTTTCAAATGAATTTTCTAAGTTATACTTAGAAATGCTTTGAGAAATATCTTTGGAAATGCATTTCTTGGAAGAAAAGCTGTGCTACCATCATTTTAACACTTCCCAAGGTTAAGTTTAGACTTTTGAGGAGACCTAAACCTGGGCCAGCTAGCGAGGTTTCACTCCTTGTTTCCAACTCCTATAGCCCTATAGTGAGCACTCAAGAATGTTGCCACCAGCCTTTCAAACTCAATGTTCTTCTGTTGACACCTAAAATGCTGGTATTCCCCAGAACTCCCCTCTTGTCACTATCTACTCCCTAGTAGTCTCTGTTACTTGTGTGGTCTCAACCACTTCTTAATTGCTCTTTCTGCACAAAGTCCCTTTTCCTGCACATTAATAGTATATTTCCAGCTATGTGGAGGTAAGCCCCCACTGGACTGAGCTCTGTTAGAGCAGAGACTATGCTAGGTGTGCTCGGCTTGCCCCTCCAATCTAGCTGCATCTTGTCCTTCCTATTCTGCAGTTTGGTAGCTGACCTCTGTGGATTACCATGAATTCTCTCCCTAGGCTCTAGACTTACTTCACACTCCACCTGCAAGAGACTGATGCCAAAGTGAGCCATCTAAAATGCAAATCTGGGTCTCTTTGATGCCTCAAATCCTTCTTTGGCTCCACACTTCCTTCCTCCGGGACCCTGGTCAAGCTACTTAGCGAGACCAAGGCCTTTCATCTGATTTTTGCCTCCCTCTCCAGGCTTATCTCTTGCTACTTTAGCTTTACCCTCAACCACTTATACTTCTACAAATTCAGGCAATATTTACTCCTTTGTGCTTTTGTGGTTTTTAACCTGGAATGCCTATGTCCTCTGGAAATTCCTAATTTTCTTTTAAACTTCTGCCCTATGCAAACTCCTTAAGCATATATTCTCTAACAACGCCATTTATATCCAATCATAGTAAACAGAATTAATTGCTCCCTTTGCTATGCTGTCTTCCTAGTTTAATTTTTACATGTTTTTACTAGATGCTGTGGATCCAGAAATGAGTAAGAGTCCACATTCTTTTTTTTTTAATTTTTTTAAATTACATTTATTTATTTTTGAGAGAGTAAGACAAAGTGCTAGCAGGGAGGGGCAGAGAGAGGGGACACAGAATCTGAAGCAGGCTCCAGGCTCTGAGCAAGCATTCAGTACAGAGCCTGATGTGGGGCTCAAACCCACAAACTGTGAGATCATGACCTGAGCCGAAGTCAGATGCTTAACCGACTGAGCCACCCAGAAGCCCCCATTCTTAAGTTCACAGTCTGAGAGCAACAAACTTGGCAGATAAAAAAATCCTCAACAAGAGGAAATAGCACTGAGCTTAAGAAACTGTAGATGCTTCTGCATACTCAATTCTGAATAAATGTGAGAAAATACAATTTTCCATAGAAAGTATTTACAATTTAACATCAACATTTTCAACACTTTTCCATATTCCCATCACTGCCTGGAAAAGTGAATACTGGGTGTCCCTGCCTTCAATGCTGAAATTATGTAAAGTTGGTGAATCACTCATAATTCAGGGTCTTCTTGGCAAGCACTTGGAGAATACGAGACTCAGGAAAGAAGCCCAAAAAGGAGAGCAGCTAACCTCTACCTTCTCCATATAATGGAGATTTACTAAAGAAATTTTGCTTTGCTTCTAAAATATAAAACATTTTTCCTTAGAATTGGATAAGAAATATCAAATTAATTTCTCTTTCTCTTAAATAGTAGGTTATTAGAGTAGATTATAGTAGATTTAGAGATTGGTCAAAATTTAGATTTTTTCAAATAAATAAGAGGAAAGAGTATCAAGAACTGTTCACGCTATGATAGTGCTGTTGATAAAGCTTAATAGGATAATACTATGTAAAGAGAATAAACAGAGGCAATACTAATTAATTTTTGTTTAGTGGAAAGAATGGCAAACATCACAGATTGTAACTTAATAGGCAAGTATCCTCTCATTTTTTGAAGTGCAATGCAGGTAGGAAATCCTATTTAGAGGACAAATCATAGAGAAATATAATATTCATGAGTATATTTGCTACTTTCCATTTTAAAAATGTTTTCCTTCAACACAAACACCTAACAGGTAGAATTACTTCTGTCTTACCAATGTGGAGCTAGTGCTTAGAGCTAAAAATGGTTGCTTAAGATAACAAAGCCAGTATATATCAGACCTGGGACTGTTGTTTTGGTCCTCTAACTGGTGCAGATACATTTTCTTTCTTTTGTGCTCTCTTCTTTCCCTGTAAATCAATCCTAATTCCCTCCCAACCTCGGACATAGCACATGCACACAGAAAGCCCCATGGAGCCTACCTTTCATTGTCAATCCCCAGTCCATGTTTGTTTCGGCAATGAGTTTTCAGTAGCACATTCATAAGATAAATTTGATCCTGTAATATTTATCATACTATTTATATAAAAACCCAAAGACTCAGTGTCTTCCATATTGCTTTCAGAGGTGGGTGTATTGTCCATTTTCCATGTGATAAGTGGATGAAGATAAACACTTCACACACTGCATATTAAGAAGCTATCTCTGTTCCTCTTTTCATACTTTATCACAGGTGTGATGAAAGCTAGGAGGGAGAAAGAAGGGCATGTGAGGGCCTGGCATTAGTTTCTTTTTAAGTCATCTGTGCAGAACACTTATTATTTTAATACCCATAAAATGAAGAGCTAGGCTTTATGAGAAAAATTTGGCAGTTACGAAAGGAAAAACAAAACAAAAACTCTGTAGAAACTTAAGATACAGTGTGGTTATCTACAAGTGAAAGAAAAAAGCATGTGCAGATACTTAGCAACTAGCAATCTTCGTTCTCTAGCAAGAATTCTAGATAGAAATCTAATGACCTCAGTGAGCAACCAATATAAACTAGAGCTCATGCAGCACTATGCCCTCTTCAGGTAATAACCCAGAGCCTGTTTGATTCTTTGTTTACACATGATTCTTAGATTTCTGAGTCAAGATCTGAAGCAGCTAAATGAGACAGAGGGAAAAGAAACAAGCGCTGGATAAAACAACCTGCTAGAAAATGCCCCTCCCCCCAATAAATAAATATAGTTAATATAGACAGGAGGAAAGCATACAATATTAAACTTAAAAAACAAAAATTAAGCCAGTAATTCAACATTTTAAAAGATAGCATATGGGCAGAAATTAAGATTGATACTATTAAATGCTAATAAGACTAACGGGTCAAAGTAATATATTAAAATTTTCTGATACTTTTTCTTTCAAATCATTTCCCACGATTAAATACAAGAATGCTCATCACAACACCTGTCATGTAAAACACTGGAATATCTACCAGTAGAGGAATGGATGTTTCAGTTATATCATGTCTATACTATGAGATACCATGCATTTAAAACATGAGGTAGATTTGTATTGACTTGCAAGGTAGTCCATATTCAATTAAGAAAGAGATATTTTAGAAAAACATGGAATGATATTATTTCTATGTTTTATCAAACCTTCCATGCATACTTACCTCCCACCTTTAGTACTGCTTTGTTTATGATGTTTCTAGATGCTGTTCCCACATAGCATATGTAAATTCCTTCATCCGGAAGGCTTAATCTTCTAAATGATAAGGAGGCATTTCCATTTCACTATGAAAGAGGGATGTCCTGTTTGTGTATCTGTGATCTTGCCTTTCCAGTCATGGTCTTTGTAGTATGAGTGCACATAGCTCTCTTGATTCTTCCAATGAACTACTACATCAGGCGCACTCTTAAATAAGCAAGGGAGAATTACATCTTCACCAAGTCCTCCAATGGCAATTTGCTTCTCCTCAATATTATCAAGATTTGAGGAAGACAAAAGCAATATAACTAAAAATCAAGAGCAGTTATGAGGAGAATTAGCGATGGGTGCTTATCAAGGGCTATATCAGAACCACCTAGAAGAATTATCCTAGGTCAGCAGCCTGCCAATTAAGACAATACCATCAAAAACCTTGCTAGTCTGATAACTAGAAACGAGTCACAAAGGTAGTGTTAGAGTTTCTGCAATTGTATATTATATATGCAAGAGTCCTGTTGACTTTTATTTCATGAACCCATTTACTTCTAATACCTACTACAATAACAACAAAACCATTTATTCAGCTAGCTAGAGTCAGCAGGCCCTAAACAAATAGAACAAACTTAACTTGGTTTCATTAGGAAATATTTGGAGTGTGTAGAAGACAATGCTGGATTTGGAAATCTGTTAGGAGTATGCAGACCTTAATCTCAAGCAAGGGAGCACATGGGCAGGAGGGGTCCAAAAGGGGAAATGAAGGGACTCATTTATTTTGGCTTTAGGGCACCTCTCAGGATGTCATATGTGTCAAATGAAATGTACCTAAGGAATAGCATCCTAGATATAAATGTGGAAGTCCAACCATCCTGAGCTATATATTTATACATATAGTTTTTTACTATTAATTTCAGAAGTTGACTTTGAAAAGCAGATGGATTCAGAAAAACAAGCAAGGTTTTCGTAAAGAAAATATATTTAGCCATTCCATAATCCTTGGAGGTAGCATCCAGCTTCTTTGACTAATTCACAAAACATTGTAGGTAGATCGTGTACCCTATCTATGGATTTTAGGAAATTAGGGCTATAAAGACAATGGAGTAAACTCCTTTGGACCTTGGCCAAGACTACCCAAGACAGGAGAATTGAGTGCTTGTCACAGTCTTTTTCCTCTGCCTTCTCTGGGGCTCCTTCTACTCCGCTATGTCCCACTTCTTTCTCTCCATCAGATTTAGTTTATTTCTGTACAAAGAGCTAGAGGGATGTGGTGGTATTATGCTGAGAGAAAGACATGGATGGGAAAGAAAAGGAGTGGTTTATGTCAACCTCCCAAGTTCTTCTACTAAACACCTCTAATATTTCATTGGATAATTTAAAAATGCCCATGACAGGACCAAGAAAAGTGGATAATGCCTGCTGTTAAGTGCTAAGTACCATGCTTACCCTTGAAAAAAAAAAATCAATCATCAGTCAATCAAACTTGCCTTTCTAGTGATTTTATATCTGGTAGCAGATAACAGAAAAAGCCTTAGAGAAGAGAGGAGAAAATATCATTTTTAATCTTCATCCAGGATCTCCAGTCTGTTTCCTATTTCTCTTTAAGTGATCTTTTAGAAAGGTTCACAACACTATGGCAACAGAGGAAACCATCACCTTGCATTGTGTGCTCACGTCCCTATCTAGTTGTGCAAATAACTAACACTTGGTTATATTATAAAGGAACTCACCGTGAAATCCACTTAGAGGTGGTGCAAGGGTGAGGATGACAGATAGCACTGCCTGTGCCTTCATGTCATGTGGAGGTCATACTAATTACACTATCGAAGACAAGCAAAATATGCATGTTAGGGATTTCAAATGCCAGCAGGAATAGGAAAAGAAAGCGTCTGACTATCGGAGATCAGTTAAATAAACTACGGTACATCCATACAAATCATTCTTCTGCAGCCATTAAAGATAATATTGTAATAGTTGGTTCAATGGTGTGGAAAGAAGTTCCTAATTTTATAGGAGAAAAATCAGATTACAATGTAACTTGTAAGTAGCATAATCCCTTTTTAAAAGCACACCCATTTCTGCACATAGGAGACAGACTTGTCACTAAATACACACTAGGATGTTAACTCTGCAGAGCAGATCACATCTAAAGCAGTGCCTACCATATAGTAGGCACTGAGAAATGGCCGTTGAGTGAATAAAGATTTGGTATAGGGTCAACAGTGGTTCTCTGGATAACAGTTTTTGTTATGTTTAAAGCTTTCTACAATGGATATGCATTGCTTTTACAGTAAAAATACTAAAAACAAATTCAGTTAAGCATTAATGCCAATGATGTTAACTATGGTATTGTTTATAATCACATACAAAAACAGGGGTGCCTGTGTGGCTCAGTTGGTTAAGGGTTTGACTTTGGCTCAGGTCATGATCTCACCACTCATGAGTTCGAACCACGCAATCAGGTTCTGTGCTAACAGCTCAGAGCCTGGAGCCTGCTTCAGATTCTGTGCCTCCCTCTCTCTCTTTCAAAAATAAATATTAAAAAATAAAAAAAATAATAAAATAAAATATAATAACACACAAAAACAAAACAAAATCTAGAAACATTCTTATAATAGTATAGATCATAAGGCAGTCATTAAAATCATGGTTTACAATGAATGTTTCAAAAAGCACAAAACACAAGAAAATATAGATGGCAAAGTGTATACATACAATATAATTCAAGTAAGTAAAATATAACTGATTTTCTCTGGTGATAGGATTATAGATCATTTTTACTCTCTAAAAAAATAGCTTGTTTAAAGAATAGCATATAATTAGTTTTAAAAAACCTCTAAAGGAAAATTTTAAAGAAATCATTTGGAAGTCATACTATTAAAAAAGCTGTGTCATAAATTTGTTGTAGGATATGAGCTTTAAGAATAATTAAAACTATTCTAGGGGAACCTGGGTGGCTCACTCAGTTAGGTGTCCGACTTCAGCCCAGGTCATGAGGACCGCTGGTGAGTTGGACTCACCCCGCTTTGGACTCTGTGCTGAAAGCTCAAAGCCTGGAGCCTGCTTCAGATTCTGTGTCTCCCTCTCTCTGCCCCTCCCCTGCTTTCTCTCTCCCTCTGTCTGTCTCTCTCAAAAATAAGCAAACTTTGTTTTAAAAAAAAGAATAATTAAAACTATTCTAAAAAATACAATTCAGGGGTACCTGGGTGGTAAAGTCGGTTGGGTGTCCAACTCTTGATCTCAGCTCAGGTCATGATCTTACAGATTTGTGGGTTTGAGCCCTGCATGGGGCTGTGTGCTGATGGCACAGAGCCTGCTTGGGATTCTGTCTCTCCTCTCTGCCCCTCCCCTGCTTGTGTGTGTTCTGTCAGTCTCTCTCTCAAAATAAATTTAAAAAATATAATTTGACTCCTTCATCACATCAAAATAAAACCTGATAGAATAATTTATAGTTTCATCTTTGCATTTTAAATTCTAGAATAAAATAATCATGTATACAGACTAAGATGTGGGCCTTTTTTTAACAGGACTATACAATTTTTATATAGATAGATCTAAATAAAAATTGGAAAAGCAACAAGAACATATTAAGATACAAATAAACAATATGTTTACTATATGACAAAGTTATCACTCCAATAGCTTAGAGCAATAGATAAGATGTTTGGCAAAGCAAAAACTTGTAAAATAGTATTAGTTATGAAAATAAGAACTTTAGGGCACCTGGGTGGGTCAGTCGGTTAAGCGTCTGATTCTTGATTTCCCCAGCTCATGATCTCACAGTTCATGAGTTCAAGCCCTGCATGAAGCCCCAGGTGGGGCTCTGTGCTGACAGTGCAGAGCCTGCTTGGTATTATCTCTCTCTCTCTCTGCCCCTCTCCTGCTGTCTATCTGTCTCTCTCAAAATAAATAAACATTTAAAAAAAAAAGAAAATAAGGCCTTTGTATATTTTTTCTGTAGATGTATTTGCATGTATAATGTATGAAAAGATGTAGCACAATGATTATTTCTGAATACTAAGATTACAAGTAATCACTAAACTCATTTTCTGCATGAGCATATGTAAATATGTAATATTTTTTACCTTTATAGGCTACTTAAAAAAAAAGAATTAAGAATTATTGCTTTCCAAGTAATAATTAACTCAAATCCACCTTGCTTAATGTAACTTTTGGACATCCTATGTCCACTCTCTTTGGATTCACTTTCTCATTCTTTCTAATGACTCCAATATTTGCTACCTTTTCTGGAAATTTCCAACATCCCTTTTTCCCATGTCTCTTTCAGCTGATGCTCTGGCTTCGTGAATTATAATTTATTATGGATACTCCCTCACCCCCTACATCAATTCAACCAACCCATTAAGAGCTGTGTCTTCTCTTTCTGTCCCCCCTTCTCCTCTTACACAAAGCCAAAGCCTTCACTTTTGCTCTGTATCTCATATTTTTTTACATTCAAGAAATTTGTCCCTACAATTATATCCCCTCCTTTACTGTATCATTAGGTTCTCTCTCTTCATTAGATCAATACCATGAGTATAAATACCCCAATAAGCTCTATCGTAAGAACATTAAAAAAGACCATTGTATTCTCCTCTGGCTCTTGATTAGCTACCTATCTATTTCTTAGCTCTTATTAACTTCTTGAAATAATTGTTTAAAGAGCCACCCTCATTTCCCCTTTACTGTCTCTCCTCAATCCACTCTGGCCTCTGTCTGTGTGACATGCCATAAACTGCCCCTACCAGTGTCTCCAAAGGCTTCCATGTTGCCAAAAACAGTGGATATAATTTGTCCTCATCTTATCCAATCTTAGAGCAGCATTCAACATAATTGGCAGTTACCTCCCTCCTGGAAGATTCTTTGCTTGTTTCCAGCCCAACTCTTTTTCCTGGTTCTTCCTTCCTCACTGTTCCTCCTCCTCTGCTTTCCCAACTTATGTGAAAATATGGAAAGTTCTCAAGTCTTATACTTTCTCTACACTCTCTCCCTAGGTGAGTTCTTCTATTCCATGGCTCTGAATGTCATCTGTATGTGAAGGATTTTCAAACGCATCTACTGAATCAAGGTCATATATTCAGCTGCCCATTTGACAGATGCCTTATAGGCAGCACAGAATCAACATGAGCCCTTGACTTTTGCCTCATTCCCTTTACCATTGCTCCCTGCCTCAGCCCAAACAAGACAACAAAATTACCCAAAAGTGCTGCCAGTCTTGTTTTTTTGTTTGGTTTTTGGTTTTTGGTTTTTGTTGTTGTTGTTGTTGTTTTTTGCTATTGGATTCAATAAATCTCCATTATCTGTGCACTTACCCAACTCCGCTATTACTGTCTCTTCCAAAGTCACTATCCTCTCTTACCTGGATATGTAAAATATGTACCTGGTTACTCCTTACAATCCACTGTCGATTCAGCAGCCAAGAGTCATATTTTTAAAATATAAATCATTCTATGATATCTTCCTAATTAAATCTCTCCAGTGGCTTCCCGCCATACTTGGATCCAAATTTTTAACCCTAGCCCACCAAGCCTTGTGTACTCTGGCTCCTAGCCCTGCCTGCCCCTCCAGCCTCTTCCATAAGAGCCCACAACATACATTCTCAAAACCCTGTGAACACTAATCCTCCACTTCAAGGGTCAGCATGAGCTGAGAATTAGGCTCTTGAAAATTATTAAATTCATGCTTTTTGCATAAAATGACAATGACAGTAACCCATTTATCATTAAGATAAAGTACTATGAATAAAAAAAGAAAACATACTCAACCCCTTCTACACAAATGCTTGATTTAGCTCTGTTGAAATAATTTCAGCATTCAGCTAAGTGAGGGAGTTAATGAGTATCTGGCCCTATTTTTATGCCCAAGTTTTATTTTTAGACATTTATTTCCTTCCCCAAAAGCAGCAGAAATCTTCCACCTTGGATTAAACTGAAGTCACCCAAGTTGCAATCAGCATCCTTACAAAAGGGCTCAAATGTTAGAAGCATCTTGTTCTGGTACGTTTTGGCTGGATTCCAGATGTGGGGGAGAATGGCAAAAAGAGGCAGCCTCTGTAATGGAACATGGCAAAAAGAAATCCAGATGCTAAGACTAATCAGACAGAAGAGAAAATTGAAGCCATTCTACAAGCATAAAACAAAGAGAACGGAACGACTACCCCTGTACCCATCTTGACAGCTACAGACCGCACTGACTGCAGCCATCAGCACTAACAGTGACAACAATGACAAACTTCACTTGTGTTCAGGCCAGACTCTATAGCCTGCACATCAGTAACACTCAAGACCAGTCCTGGCCTCATAACGGCTGGCCTAAATAGGACCTGAGCCACATCGCAAGCCAATGCTCTTTTTTTTTTTTTTTTTTTTTTGAAAAACAGGAATGTTTTACATCCCTTGCATTGTGCCAGTTCCCTTCACGAATTCCTTCAGGAAAAGCCGCTTCCAGGGTGCTACAGACTCCTCAGCATTGGTTTTAAATTCAATGCCTCTTCAAAGTGCTCTTGGCTCTGAGCCAATTCATGAAAGTCACAACAAAAGGAAACTCTTTGTAGCATCCTAGGGATTTCTCCTTAGCATCCACTTAGATTTTAATAGGATTGACTTTGTTAAGATGGAACCAAGAACAAAAGAACAATTTTAGTATTACCCACTCTTTACTCAAAAAAACCTCCCCTGATGTTGTACAATGAAAATCCACCCCTTGAGGATACATTGGGTTGAAACTTTGAATCTCTAGGGGTGCTTGGTTTCAGGCTCTGTTTAGGTTTCTGTTTTGTTGTTTTTGTGGATGGGGAGTAGGTCTCTGTAACTGGGTTAAG